GCATGCTGCTGCTCAGTTGCCAGAGTCTCTCAAGACTCCCATGCAACAGAGTGTCCAAGAGGGGGGCGTCCAAGAGGGAGGTGAAGACTAGGGGTGTGCAGACACCGTGGCTGGGGCAGGCTGGGGCCATGGCATCTCCCAGATTTCATGGCCACAGCTTCGTCTCCTTGTTCAAGGATGTCCCCGGGCCCCTGGCCCCCCCCCTCGTCCACGCACATGCCTCGGGCCATGGTTCGCCCCTCCCCCCCCCCTCCCCCTCTTCCTGGCCCCCCCTCTTCGGAGCACCCGATCTGGGGAAGATAGCCCTGATGGTCGAAGCCATTTTTACCGGGGATGTGGAACCTCCACTTGTGGTATGAGAAGCGAACATAATGCAGGACAAGCGCGCGCTTCCAGAATAGAGGTCGAACCACCATTGCATTGTGTGAACTTTTTTCATCCTCTGGGATGGGCGTCCTAGTGGGAGGGAGGGAGAGAAGGAGGAACAGTTTTTGAGAGGCACGTGCCTGCGCGGATCCTGTTCTTCCTCGTCGTCCTCCAAGCTGCTCTCTGGCCAGAGGTGCTCCCTCAGGCTGAGAGTCGGCGTGCCAGAGGCCATGCTTCCTGATACAGTGCCGTTTTGCATACATGTTCCGCGTGCGGATCATGTAGTAAAAATGCAGGGGTCTAGTATCAAAAACAACGATGAAGTTATGCATTGAATTATGAGTGAATTTCATATATTTCAAATGCATTTTGCTTGTAAATTAGTCCTGCATTTGTATCCTTAGTAGATTAAGAATCCTATATTTAAACAATCCGATGTATCAAAAACTGCCCTGTATCTCTACGTCGCTTCGCGACCTGGCCGCTTCCGCTTCCGCCTCCCTCTTCTGCGCGGCGGGCGGCCCGCGTGGCCCTCGGTTGCCCCTTGCAACGCCGCTGAAAGTGGGACACCCCATCCATCCCTCCCTCTCCTGGGCCCTCTTCTGTCCCCTCCTCATCATCCTCCTCTTCCCCTCCTCTTCCTCATAATGCCGATCCTCCTCCTCCTCCATCTATTCCTCCTCCTCCTCCTCCTCCTCCTCCATCTTCTCCTCCTCCTCCTCCTCCTCCTCCTCCTCCTCCTCCTCCTCCGTGAGGCCCTCTTCATGGGCATAGCAAAGCTCATCTACGGCATGAGCATCTTGCTGACCCCGCTGTTCGGGCTCCTGGGGGACCGCATCGCCTCGAAGTCCCGGGGTACTGTCGGAATCGGATGATGATCAGGAGGAGGCGATGACGATGATCATGATGATGTTGTTGATGATGAAGGTGAAGACTATGATGATGCCGATGCTGATGATGATGCTGATGATGATGACGATGACAATAACGATGACGATGATGGTGGTAATGATGACAATTATGTTGCCGATGATGATGACAATGACGATGACGATGACGATGTCGAAGGTGATGGTGGCAATGATGAGGATGCGGATGCGGCTCATGATGATGCTTGTGATGATGACGATGATGACGATGACGATGATGATGATGATGATGATGATGACAATGATGGTGCTGATGATACTGATGATGATGATGATGATGGTGAGGATGCGGCTAATGATGATGATGATGATGCCGATGCTGTGGATTAGTGTGATGATGGCGAGGATGATGATGATGCTGCTGATGATGAAAATGGCGATTCCGATACTGATGATGATGCGTAGGATGATGATGATGATGCTGATAATGCTGATGCTGCTCATAAGGCTGATGCGAATGATGATGATGACGATGACGATGACGATGATGATGTTGCTGATGATGATGATGATGATGATGATGATGATGCTGCTGATGCTGATGCTGATGCTGATGCTGATGCTGATGGTGTTGATGAGGAGGATGGCGGTGATGCTGATCATGATGATGATGATGATGATGCTGATCATGATGATGATGACGCCGATGATGATGCTGACGAGGATGATGATGGTGGTGATGATGCTGATGACGACGATGATGACGATGATGTTGGTGCTGATGCTGATGATGGTGCTAATGAGAAGGATGATACTGCTGCTGTTGCTGATGATGATGATGATGATGATGGTGACGACGATGATGCTGATTATGTTGATGCTGAGGATGACGACGATGATGATGATGCCGAGATTGACGATGCAGATGGCGATGCTGGTGGTAAATATGAAGCAGGTGATGATGAAGATGGCGATGCAACTGATGGTGAAGAGGGTGACACAAGATTAAGCTGAAAGTGCTTATGATGATGACGATGCTGATGATGACGGTGATGATGATGCTGGTGATGATGATGTCTAAAGGTGACGGTGACGGTGATGTTGATTACGATGCTGTTGTTATTGATGAGGATGGTGATGATGATGATGATGCTGATGATGATGATGATGATGATGATGATGATGATGATGATGATGATGATTGTGATGATGCTGATGATGATGGTGATGATGACGACGATGATGATGATGAGGATGCTGCTGAGGATGATGACAGTGATTGTGATGTTACTTGTGACTGGTGATACGTATGTTGGTGTTGTTGTTGGTGTTGTTGCTGGTGGTGCTGGTGGCGATAACCACGATGACGATGACATGACGACGATTCTGAAGAAGAGGACGAACATGAAGAGTAAGAAGAAGGAGAGAAGGAATAAGCGGATGATAACACTGAAGCGGATGATGAAAAGGAGGAGGAGGAGGGGGGGAGGAGGGGGAGGAGGAGGAGGAGGAGGAGGAGGAGGAGGAGGAGGCGGAGGATGTGAAGGAAGGGGGGCATGGGGTAAGGAGGAATGGCGAGCAGGAGGAGCAAGATGCGCAGAAGGAGGACAAGACGGATAAGGAGGAGGGAGGCGGCCCGATTCGATGTATTCGATCGCACGAGCGGCCTGGTTGATCGAGGAGGAGCAGGAGGGCCATCACATGGATTGCAGCCATCGCGACGCGATATCACACGACCTACTACTCAGGCGACGCACTGAGGGATGGAGGGCGAGGGAGGGAGGGAAGGAGGGAGGGAGGGGCAGAGAGCGGAGGAGGAGGATGAGGCGGAGGAGGGGGAGGAGGAGGAGAAGCAGGGAGGAGGAGGAGCAGCAAGGGGAGGAGGAGGTTTGAGGGAGGAGGGAAATGGGGATGATCGGCAGGACAACGAGGAGGAGAAACAGGAAGATGAGGAGGAGGAGGAGGAGGAGGAGGAGGATAATTAGCGATTCGACCTTTTTCTGTCGCGCAGGCGAGTCGGTCGATCGAGGAAGCAGGAGCAGGAGCAGGATGCGGTCAGCAACGTTTGCCCAGCGTGCCGCGCCGCTGGTTCTGGCCCACCCCGCGGCGCGACACGCTGAGCGCGCCCGGGTCTCCAAGCGTCAACGTCCCGAGCTGTGCCTCCTCCTCCTCCTCCGCCTCCTCCTCCGCCTCCTCCTCCTCCTCCTCCGCCTCCTCCTCCTCCTCCGCCTCCTCCTCCTCCTCCTCCTCCTAGCGTCAACGTCCCGAGCTGCTCCCAGCCCCTCGTCCCACGAAGCAGCGCGACACGTTGCCAGTTTTGCAAGGCATGGCTTGTCTCGCAGGGGCCGCCGCCGCAACAACACTCTTGTAGCACAGGTGCCTGGCCGTCGCGGGGAGGAGCAGGAGGAGGAGGGCGAGGAGGACGAGTGATCCCCAGACAGGCGCCCGCTGGGGCGGGACCCCTTTTCCTGTCTCGAGGGCTGCGGTGAGCAGGGTTTGAATTTGTTGTGTTTGAAACTCCCAGGACCCTCGCCTGCGCCAGGTCTTCTTTGCCTTCCCTGGCGGGCCCTGGGTTAGCCGTGGAGTTTGGATCCCCAGTCGGGGTAGAGGTAGGTTTGCTGAGCGGACCACCTCTTGGTAGGAACCAGAGGAACCAGAGGAGGAAGAGGGAGGAGGAAACGGACGAAACGGAAGAGGAGCAGGAGGGCAGGGAGGGAGGGAGGAGGGAGGAGGAGGAGGAGGAGGAGGAGGAGGAGGAGTAGGAGGATGATGAGGAGGACCAGTGGAAACCCAATACTCACCGACGACATTGTAATACACCGTCCCCCGAAGTTCGCGCTTTACATGTCCCATGCCAGTATTCGTTTTTATTGAAGGAAGTGCCCCGGTGGAAAACAACCGTTTGGAACTCCTGAAGTGCGTTAGAGCGCCATCCATGGGACTTGAACGCCGCGAATCACCGTTACGGTAGCGCGGAGACGATCCTGAGTCGTGCCAGAACGCCATTCCAGGGGACTTCAACACCACGAATCGACGTATTTGGTGCGCCCTAACATTCCGACACCGTGCGAACATACAAGTTCTTGGACCTCGCCATGATAATGTTTGAAGTGGTTGCAAATTTTCAGAACGAACGCGCGCGGCGCTAAGGCGAGAGCCACATTTTGAGAAGGAGTCGCCCTCCATCCGTGCAGCGTTAGTAATTGTTCAAGACGGATGTGCGCGGCTTTGCGGCGAGAGCCACATCATAAAAACCACCCGCCCTCCATCCGTGAAGCTCATGCAAATTGTCATCGAACACCACCCGCCCTCCATCCGTCAGTCTCTTGCACGTGTTATAGACGAATGCGCGCGGCGCTAAGGTGAGAGCCACCTTCCGAAAACCACCCGCCCTTCATCCTTAAAACTCGTGCACCTGTTAAAGACGAATGCGCGCGGTGCTGAGGCGACAACCGAATTCCGAAAACGACCTACCCTCCATCCGTGAAGATCTTGTGCATGCTTAACACATATGTGCGCGGCGCCAAGGCGAAGGCCACATTTTGAGAACGACCCGCCCTCCATTTGTGAAATTGTTGCCAATTGTAAGCTTCAGGATCATACATGGTCAGAACGTCTCCGGCGGCACGCCTGGCCTGCCCTTTCGGCGGGCCTTGGGGTGCGACAGGGAGGACTTGCTGATCAGGAGAAAGAGTGGAAAAGGAGGAGGAAGAAGAGGACGAAGCGGAAGAGGAGCATGAGGGCAGAGGTGGAGGGAGGGAGGGAGGAAGGGAGGGAGGGACGGAAGGAGGAGGAGGAGGAAGAGGAGTAGGAGGAGGATCAGTTCAAACCCAAGACTCATCAACGATGTTGATATACACCCTCCCTCCAAGCTCCCTCTCCATAGGCCGTTCTCAGGAATTCAACGCCACGAGTTAACGTAATTGTTGCGTCTTGACAATCCTGAACCGTGCCGGGACACCATTCCTGGGATTTCAACATTGCGAATTAACGTGACTGCTGCGCCCCCTGACAATCCTGAATCGTTCCAAAACACAATTTCTGGTACGTTAGCCGTGAGAATCAGTAGGCGAATGTTCAAAACGAATGCTCGCGGCGCTAAAGCGAGAGCCACATGTGATAAACGACCTGCCCTCAATCCGTGAAGTTCGTGCGTATGCTTGAAACGAATGTGCGTGGGAACCACATGTTGAAAATGACCAGTCGCCAACCCGTGAAAGTCTTGCAATTGTTTGAACCGAGTGTGCGCGGCGCTAAGGCGAGAGTCACATTTTGAAAACCACCCGCCCTCGATCCGTGAAGCTCTTGCAAATCGAAACAACGAGTGTGCGCGGCGCCACAGCGAGAGCCACATCTTGAAAGAACGCTTGTCCTCAATCCTTGAAGCTCTTGCGACTTCTTGAAGCCACTGTGCGCGGCGCTAAGGTGAGAGCCACATGTTGAAAACCACCCGCCCTCAATCCGTAAGATTCTTGCAACTTGTTTGAGACGAATGTGCGCGGCGCTAAGGCGGGAGCTACATGTAGGACCCATCATGGCAACTGCTGCCAGCTTTTGAGCCTTCAGGCTCATAAGTGGTAAGGAAGTCTCAGGCACATCGCCCAGCCCGCCCTCCCGACTGGCCTCGGGGCGCGACAAGGAGAAGTCGGGGGGGAATGGGCAACACACGCGCTCTGGCGACGATGATTCTGTGCTCGGCCAAAGCTCTGCTACCGTGGCTGTATTCTCGCTTGCTCAGCGAGTTCGAGCAACAAAAACATCATTACATAGAGATGCTGTGGCTCCCGTCGACGCTACACTGATGCCGAGAAGACTGCAAGACAATGGGAGGCAATGCAAGACAATGGGAGGCAATGCGAGACCATGCAAGTCAGTGCAAGGCAATGCAAGGCAATGCGAGGCAATGCAAGGCAATGCAAGGCAATGCAAGACAATGGAAAAACAACTGAGGAGGAATAGCAGCAGCAGCAGCAGCAGGACACAGCGGGAAGAGGCGCAGAGGCGGCCGGGCAGGACGCGTCAGGCCCGTGTCCGTCCGCCGTTGGTGGCCGTGCGGGCCGCGAGAGCAGCACCAGGCGGAGGTGCTTCCTCCGGCCTCTGTGCGCCGTGGAACGGTACATCGACAAACTGTTGCACCGCCTGGCGCGGACAGTCAGTCGCGCATCGCTGTTAGATCGATCGTTGGTTTCCCCCCGCCCTCCCCCCCGATCTTGAGATATGGGGTTCGGGGTCCGGGCTGGTCGAAACAGCTCGGTGGGGCAGCACTTTGTTTGTCGGGAGCCCCCGGGCGGAGCAGGGGGCTCTTCGCCATGCGCACCATATGAAGATCGGGGGGAAAGGGGGGGGGTCAAGAGCGATGCAGTACAGGTGCCAAAGCACCGCAAAAGTGGTGCAACATTTTGTCGATGTACGGAAGCCCCAAGTCCAGTCCATTTCGAACCCAACCGAAGATTTCAAAGTCAAATCCCACAGCGTTTGGATGGAGGTCCCTTGGAATCGGGGTTGGGCTGGTAGTTCCAGCCCGCAGCGAAGTCGTACATTCATAGGCTTGAGTCGTCACCAGGAGAAGGCATTGAGAAAGATTGTAGTGGAGGTTCCCCGACCTCCGTGCGTCGTGCAACGCCAAATTGCTGGCAATGTTGGCTCATTGATGGCCCCTCCGCCGGTTCTGGCCCGCCACGCTTCGGTTCGACACGCTATCCTCGATCCCGAGGCGTCCACGTGTCGAGTTTTCCCGAGCTTCTCGTCCCGCGGAGCGGAGCGACACGCGATCCACTCGCAAGGCATGGCGCGTCGCCAACGCCGACGTGGCGACATACTGTCCACAAGTTCCCGGCCGTACTGGGCCCTGGGGCCGTAGCAGAGCGACTCGGAATGAAGAGCCAGTTCCCCTGGAGGAGGGATCCAGACCTCTGTGGATTCAAGTTGTGAAGCAGATCACCACGTCGTGTGTCCGGGTTCCTCCCCCTCCCTCCTCTCAGGCCGGTTTTTTTGGTAGCCATGTCGCAACGTTTCTGGCAGCCGTGTCAGTTTCACATGTACGGTCGGACCGAGATATAAGATCGAGGTCAGTTCGGGAAGGATACCCTAGCGTTCTTCGAGCTTGTTGGATGTTCTTGTGCATCCTGGGGGAGGGTACCCTCGAATGCTCTTCGGTTTGGCCGGCGGAGGGTCTCATGTTCTTTAAAGATGTCATTATGTCCCAGGTCCGGCCGTAGTGCCCAAGCTGCACCGCAGCAGCCCCGCCGTAGCCACGATCACATCGTGGATGCAAGGCGCCGCCGATAAGAAGCAGAAGCGTCTGTTTGGGCGCGCGGGCAGCTATGGCTCCACTGCAGTCAAGATGCTGAGATGCGGGCCACTCCGGGCTCGGGAGGAGACTCTGCCTGTCGGGCCGTTCCTGAGCTCTTGGTCCTCGGCCTGGCCGTTGCCGCACTGCCAGGCTTCTGGCCGCCGCATCGGTCTCTCGCGTGCAGCGTCCCGAGCAGGGCCTCGCCCTCGGCGGTTCCCCGTCCTCGGCGGAGGCCGGCGTCACCGAGACGGCGGTGGCTCCGCCGGCGGGAGGTGGCGCAAGTGAACTCGGCCACGCGCAGAGGGGGAGGGGCAGGGGGAGCGAAGAGTCACGGCCACCGCCTCCAGACCCCATCTTTCCGCGCCATCCTTCGAGCCAGATTCGGGGTGGACAGGCCCCCCACCCTGACACGTCGATTTGTGACTTGTCCGTTTTCGGTTCTCGAGAGGGCGCCGCGGCCGTCGTTTTCCAGGCCAGCGCCCGCCAGGTTTGGACCCGAGGTCGTTCTCACCAAGCCACGTTTTACCAAAGGGGGTGCTGTCCATCCCCGACAGATCCATCAGTGTTGGCCCCGGCGCCCGAGACGAGGCGAAGGCGCCCAGTTAGAAAGAGACGCATCGCCCAGATCTCATGTGGACTCGCAGACTGGGAGCTGGCCACGCGCAGATGGGGGGTAGGGGGAGGGGGGAAGGCTCATTAGAAGCACTCCTGCTTCTTAGAAGGCGCGGTCCTTTTCTGTAGATGTAAGGCCGGCGCCTTCTAAGAAGCAGCCTCCTTCTAAGAAGTCTTCCCCCCTACCCCTGCCCCAGCGCGCCGCCAGTAAACTTGAGACGTCAACATTATTGGATTCAGGGCATCTCGAGTTGCACACGTTCTGTCATGGCCGCCGTCAGAGGTGAAGGTCCCAGACCCACGCGTGTTTTGCTAAGTTGTGTGGTTGCCGGTATTTCCGTTCCCCATCGCCCCGGGTCCTCCCAGAAAAAAAATGATACCCAACCGGATGAGCTTTCAGGACGCTCAGATTCTCCATCACTGGAGGTTGAAACCTCTGCAGCTACGAGGTTCCGCTTCTCGCTTTGTCCTGGTGTGGCCCCGGCGCCTTCTGGGAAGCCAGCCCAGGCTCTTCTGCAGCCAAGACGCTGAAAGAAGACCCACCTCGGGTCGGGCTCAGGAGGGTCTCTGGTCTTCGCCACGTCCCGTTAGATCTAGATCGGGCAACCTGTTCGTAGGCGAGGCTCGCAGTGGCCAGACGAGCCCATCCGTTCCCTGTTCGGTGCGCCGCACGGTAGCACTGTGGCTGTAGTCCCCTGTGGACGCGCGGGGCCGCGACGCGCGGGAGACATTGGCCCGGCGGCCGCTCACGGTCTCTCACGGAGGAGGGGCGAGGGCCAGGGGGTGGCTGTCGTGGCCGGGGAAGTGACGCCTTCCAGATGTTCTAACCGAGTGCGGGACATAATAATACCCCCCAGATAGGAAAGTTCGGGGGTCTGGCGGGGATAATCAACGATTTTCCCGGGGAAGGTGATGTTGGTTACGCGCGCACGCCTCATCCGCGCACATACCGCGCATACGCCTGATTTGCCCCTCATCCGCGCACGTGCCTCAAGGCACGATGCGCTAACACCACTTCTCCACGCCCCACGCTTCGACGCACTCGAAGGAAGCCAGACCGGGCTTCTCGGGGTAGATCTTGCCACCCTGTACTCTCCCAGGGGATCGGAGCAAAGTTGGATTCGGCCTCCAGTCTGGAGGTGTATTTTTCCTCCATCCTGAAGTTGTCCCTCCAAAAAAGCAGAGGTTTGACCTCCAGATTGGAGCGTTTCAACCCTCTGGGCTGGGCGCGAACATCCCCCCACCCTGAAGGTTGAAACCTACGTCTCATAGAGGTTGGTGACCTTCTTGGGCACCTTCCTGACCCGTTTCCTGATACGCCTCTGGCCCAGCCAAGACTCGAGGGAGGAAGAGAAGGAAATCAAGACCTCTGCCTGCGAGGTTGCGCGCCCTCCTGGGCGGGGCCCGACAGACACCGAACAGCAAAAGCACCGCCTGAACCCAGATTCGGGGGAGCGTAAGACGCGGGTTTGCCAGGACTCGGCTTCGCCATCGTTTTTTGATGACCGCGCCTCGGATTTTGACGAGGAGGAGTTTCGTGGGATGTCTGCAGCGGGAGGCCTCGTCAAAATGCAGGCTCGGCCTCGTCATTTTTTTGACGACCTCGTCGGGGATATCCGAGTCCCCCGTACCCGGGTCTTACGTCTCCCCGACAGATGTCTGCAGGCCTCCGCGGACTTTTTTTTCCGCATCGGCCCTGGACCCCGGGCGGCCTGCGGCCCCGCTCCCGGGGCGCGCTCCGCGCCCCAGTTTTTTTTTTGTTGGTGGGGGGGGGAGGGGCGTCTGGCGCCGATCCACGAAGTCCGCGCGGACCTCCGAAAGATATCACCACCCACCAAGCCACCCCAACCCCCCAACCCGGAGGCTCAGATTGACCCTCGATTTCCAGTGGGGGGGGGGTCGGGGAGCATCGACAAGACACGTGTGGAACCCTTACCCCCCCCCAACCCGAAATGCGGGCTTGTGTGTGTGTGTGGATGGCGAGCCTGTGGTGATTGATGGCCGGGACCCACAGCGAGACTCACCCAGACGAAGATAAAGATCAGAAGTTAGGTCTCGCACATATTGAGTATCGTTTGGATCGACAATCGAACTTCTCAGCGGCCAAGCCGCGTGAGAAGGTTCCAGGGAAAGGGCACCTCCTACCTACCAGACCGGGGTGGTCTGGTAGGTAGTCAAAATCGGTTCCTGCCGTCCGTCTCTCGCGCCTCCCGCGCAGGTCCCACGCGCTCGGCCGGCGCCTCTTCATCCGGCTGGGCGTCGCCGTGGCCGCCGTCGGCATCCTGGCCTGCCACTGGGCAGCGCCGCGGGGCGAGGCCCCGGCTTTTTTGCCTTCTCCTCCTCCTTCCTTCTCCCCCTGTGCCCATCCTTTCCCTTCTCCTTTCTCCTCCTCCTCCTCCTCCTCCTCCTTTCTCCTTCTCCTCCTCTCTCCTTCTCCTTCTCCTTCTCTCCTTCTCATCCTTTCCTTTCCCCTCCTCCTCCTTTCTCCTTTCTCCCTCTCCTCCTGTGCCCATCCTTCCTCCTTCCCCTCCTGTGCCTCCTCCTTGTCTCCTCCTGTGCCCACCCCCCCCTCCTGCCCGCTGCCTCTCGTTTGCTGCGTCCCTCGCTGCCTCTGCGTGCTGCGGTCGCTGCTTATCTCAGGAGAGGAAAAAACACACAGACACAATTAATCGTCGATCCCCAGGAAAATATGGGGAAATATGGGAAGTGGTGGGGAAGACAAAAACTCAGAAAATATGGGAAAATATGGGGAATAGTTTTACTTGTGTGTATTTATTTGTGCGTTTGTGGGCCCCTTCACTTCTCCTCCTCCCCGCGCCGCCCACCCCGATGCGGAAAGAGCGTGCGCATCAACTTCTTGAGCGGGTGGCCTGCGGCCGCTGCCTCCCCCGATTCAGAGGGTCGAGGAGCAGGGTGGGACGAAGTCCTCTACGCCCCACGCTGCGCTTCTCCCCCATCATCCCCCCCCCTCCTCATCCGTCGCCGTTTTCCCTTTCTGCGGGGGTCTCAGCGGATACCGCGAATCCGCGGCCAGCCTTCCAAGCTTGCAGCCACAACCAGGGGCGAGCTGCCGCCCAGTCCTAACCTTCATTTTCTCCGCGAGTCTGGGCGGTGAATTGGCACCCATCCGTACGCATTCTCTTTGTATTGCAAGGAGTCCCGCTCGGCGAAGTGGTCCCCTGTTTGTCCGCAAAGACAAGATGGGCAAAGTCCGAAAGGCCAAGAGAGTTGACAAGGAGCGTAATTCCGTGGATCTTCGCACCCCTTCTCGTTTTTTTCGAACGCGCCCTCTCTGGAGCTTCGATGCCCAAGCGCAGCACAACATCTACATGACGGAGCAGCGGAGCCCCATCACTTCGGGCAGATTGAAACGAAAAAGAACAAGTCGGCGATGGTTATGCCTAGTCTGGTGCGCCCCCCCAGGAGGTGTTGGGCGCGGACGGGACAGCGCCGGGAGTTTCTCAGCACCTTCTGCAATCAGGATTCCAGGCGCCGCCTCTGGGCATCGTGGCCCCGATTCTTGTGTTCGTGCTGGACACGGCCTGTCTGGATTTCCACTTCAGCGTTGAGGGTATCCGTCGCACGCCAGCGTGCATCTCCCAAGATCATCAAGGCACCCTGGCATCCGACATCTCATCGCTTCGGACATTCAAGGGCTTCTCGCCAAATTCCCCGATATCGGTGCGCCCGTGGTGGGGAACGTGATCGTCGAACGCTTGGAGCCTGCTCCCACGAAGTGCCAAAAACCGCCTTCGACAAGCGGCTAGCCATCCACGAGCAGAGGGTCCTGGCACCCGAAGACGAATATACACGACCTGGGAAGAAACGATAGTTCACCTCCTGGCGCGGCTGGGCATGCTGGAGACTGAGCGCGACTTCGCGCGCGCCAGCAAGCAAACACCAATCGGAGCTGGAGGACTCGATTGGTCTCCGGAGGCCAACGCGCGGACCCCATTCATCAGCGTGCCTGAAAACGCGCCGCAGCACGCAGCGGCCGACTCATTGGAAGAGTGATTCGGCACTGCGCAGAAAAAGCCGGGCGATCGGCGCGAGCCCGGGGGCGACGCCCACGGGGCGAAAGCCGCCGCGGTTTTCGGCGGCGGCGACTGTTAGGCAGAATGGCGCGCAAACATAACATTCCAGGCATTGTAGAATGGACCTAGGATGCCCAGGCACTTGACGACTATCCCTTTACATTGGACTTTACAAGAACCAGAAGCATCTCGTCGCCGAGGTCGCCTTCAAGCGAGCGCGCGGCCCTCCAGCGAATCTCCCTGCGCGGCGAGCGATGGCGGGCGCGAGCTTTTTTTTCGTAAAGTGGTGGTTTTCCAGAGCGGGCCGCCCGAACCCCGCTGGAATACATCTGCGCCGCGGATCCGGGGGTCGCTGACCGCAGGAGCCGCGGGCGCGCTAGTTGCGGATATCTACCCCTCCACGCTCGCGCAGTGGAACGGATGGTCGCGCCGGCCGTCGGGGGCGGCGGAGCGGCCCACCAGGTCTTCGCGAATTGCGGAACACCGAGCGTGGAGCCAGAGTCGCCCACCTCATTCAGCCAGCGGCATGCGTGCGCGGCCCAAGGCCGACGTGGTCCGAAGCCGAGCAGAAAAAATCATTTCCGTCAGTCCTAGTTTGCGGTGACATTTTGGGGTGCGCACGACCGTGGTGCAACGGGATAACATGTTCGTCGCGTCTACTCGCCGACCCGCGCCTCTGCCGTTGCCTGCGAGCCGACGCCGCAGACCACCTCGGTCCGCGCCCTGGGCGACATCGGAACATCGGACAGCGTGCCCGAGTACATCGCCGAGGCAGGGCGAGTTCGGCACCTACGCACTGGGCCGTCGGCGACGCGGCGGGGAGGAAGCGCTTCGAGCCATTGGGCGAGATCACCGGCCGCTCTGGGCCATCTCATTCGCGCGCCAGCACTGGCGCTGCATTCGTAGTCGGCAGTAATCCGCGCCCCTCTCCGAGCTGGACCATCGCGCAAGTCCGCGACAGTGCGTCCTTGCCAGGCGAGCCGCGGGAGCTGCTCGGCGCCGCGCCCTCCGACCGCGCGCCCCCGACGCTGGCGACGTCGCGGCGAGGGGGGGGGGCGGGCCAGCGACGAGAAAGGCCCCGTTATTTCCAGGCAATCGTTGTCGACTTGCTCACTGTAGACCGCCCAGGCCCACGCGGGCATCTGCCCCGACGCCGGCGACGTCGCACCGAGGGGGGGGGGGGGGGGGGGGCAGCAACGAGGAAGGCCCCATTATTTCCAGGCGGTCGTTGTCGACCTGCTCCGCGGTGGACCGCCTGGGCCCGCGCGGGCATCGGGCCCCGGCGCCCTGCCCTGGCCCCCCCGGGCGCCCCGCCGTCGAGACAGCGCGGGGCGCCGCCCGTGAATTTCGGGGCAAAGCGAAACTTTCCGCGCGATGGTGCCCAGATCGATCGCTCGAGCGCCGCGTCAGCGGGGCGCCCGGCCCGCGCGCGCCATCTTTCAGCGGCGTCAGCGGCCCCGCGAGTTCTCGGCGGCCTCCGTCGCGGGGCCTGCCCCGCTTGGCCAGCGCGCGTTCCCATCAATCTTCGGCGGCGCCGATCGACGTGCGGCGCGGGTTTGGGCGGGCGCATCCTGGTCACGGCCAAGGCCGGGCAGATCCGCCAGAGAAGACCTGCCCCTCGCGGAGGCAAGCGGCCGCGGAATGCGTCCTTCGCGATGGTGGCGCGCCGACCACCTCGGCGACCGAGGAGGCGGGCGTGCTCCGAGGACGCCGGCCCGCTGTCTTTTCGACGACCCGCCAAGTGCCCCCCTGAGACGCCAATGCTTGCGCCGCTGGGTTCCTGACTGCACGTCGATTTTGACCCCCCGACCTGGGAAGAGAAGGGCCGCGCGATTCCGGGGCAGGGACGGGCGGCGCCAGGCCCAGATGGGCCCCCGGCTTGGGAGCGAGGCCATCGCATCATGTTGGGGCTGTCTTGGCCATTCCGCAGTGGGCGAGCGCTTCTTCGGGTCACCCGCGAGAGCCCCAGCGTCTTCGACGTGGAGATTGACGGGGCGTTGACGGGCCCTGCGTCAAGGCCGAAGGTGCGAACCCGCCGCGTTTCAGAACTCGGCTGAACGCATCCCTGATCAAGGCGGTCAGGAGGGGTGGCGCCCGCGCCCCGGGCGGCCGCGCCACGGCTTGCGATCTCCTTCGCAACGTCGCTGGGATAGACGATGCTGCGAAAGCCGCCCGTCTGCGGCGATTTCCCGCAGGGGCTTCTGGCCGCTGTCGAATGCGACCGGGCCTTCCCGAGCGTCTCCCAGAGCCGGATGGTAGCGCGCCTCGCGTTGTTGTGCGCGCCACTTGGGCCGATCAACGGCGCCCCAGGCATCAATGACCAGGGTGCGACCTGCCTGTTGGGATCTGGAAGAAAAGGGGCCCTTTGCGGCATCTGGTTAGGGCCCCTCCGCAGGCGCTCGCTAAGCGCGGGTCTGCGCGTCATCGTCTTGGGCGCCTTCTACAGCGACGCCCAAGTCCACCGGGGCTCGGCCGGGCGCGAGGCGGGCTCGTCGCCGCGCTGCGCGGACGACGTGGCGTTGGGGCTCTTCGCCGCGAAGAGCCCCTCAGTGGCGCGCGGAGCATTCGGGCGGCGCCCACTTTCGGACAGGTCATGCCCAGCGCGCGACCATTCCCCTCGCAGGGCCTCGCATGCCCGAGCTGGGCAGGGAAGCTCACGCCTTGCACTAGTCCATGTCAGGAGAGCGGGGCCGCCTCCACGCGGCGGGCGATCTGGCGCACCTCCGCTTCGCCATCGGACCCGCGGCCGCGCTGGATAACGACTGGGGGCCCATCTGGAGCGAGCTCGGAGTCGCCCTCGTCGGGCGCGTGGCTTTGTCGCTGCCCATTTCCCCGACGGCGTGCGCGGCTGGGGCGGCGGCGCTGCCGAGCGAGCATCCGTCGAGCCCCCGCGCGGCGCGGAGACCAGCTTCGACTTCGCGAAATCGGAGGCGCCAGCGTCAGCCCTAGAAATGGCAGGTTTCATGAGGCTGCGGCGGAGTGGGGCTTCTTGGACACGATCGCCAGGCTCGGGCACTTTGGCCGCGACGGCGCACTGGCGGGCAGGTCGATGGCGACGCGGCGGCGGGGCAAGAGCGCCGCGGCGACTGGGGGCGACATGCAGGCGGGAAGTGCACTGCCAACCGAGGCGGTCTCCAGGCGAATCTGCCATCCATCTACCACCAGGGGATGTCCTCTCGCGACATCTGCGACCTACTTGCCTGCGGTCATTGCCGCTGTCCGCGGGGCCCTCTGCCGACTGGGGCAATCTCGAGCACCGGGCGGCAGATCCACCACCCAGCTGGCGGACCGCGGCGCCGAGGGGGCGAAGCGGCGAATGGGTTAGCAGTCAGAAGGCGCAGCGAAGGCGCCGAGCGAATCTCTCAAGTGAGAGAACGATCGAGAACGCGCCAGATGGCCCACCGCGCCGGCGAGCGCAGGCCTCAGCATCGGGCGGCCCCGCCTCGTGGGCCCTTCGGGCCCTCCTGCCAGATGGCGCCCGCTTCCGATTCGGGCTCCACCGGGGGGGGGGGTCCCAGCATTCTCCGTGGCGCTCTACCGCTTCGGCCGCGCCCTTTCACACTCTGGGGAAGCTCAGCGCGGGCCCCGTCGCCGTGGAGACGCGCGAGAGCTGCCGGGGGGCATTCGGATCTCTGTCCCGCAGGTCGCTGGGAAACGCGCGAAGGAGCTGTTGGACCCTCGCGTGCTCCGAGACACCGCTCTCCGACTGGGTGGGCGCCCTGGTGGAAGATATTCCGCCCCCGCTCGGCGCCGTGGATCCTGCTGGTCATGCTGGTGATCCGGATGATGGCTCTCACGGTGGCGATCTTCCTGCTTCAGAGTCTGAAGCAGCGCTGGCCAGACGCGGCAACCAGCCTGCCAGGATCACGACGATGGCTCTGCGTGCGCTTGGAGACACCCGCACGAGGTTTTTGTTCGACGCGGGCGCGCTCGGCAACTGGATGAGCGGGGGCGGGATGCACGCTGCGCCCGTAGATAGACAAAAAAGTGGAACCCTTGACACCTCGCCCCCCCCCCCCCCCTTCCCCCAATTTCAAAGTTGGCCTCAAGCATTTGGCAGCACAGGCGTGAGAGGACAAAACAAGTGGAACCCCCGGGGCCTCGGAGAGGCCGAACCCAACTTTGAAATTGGGGGGGCGGGGGGGGGGCGAATGCGGGGCCGAAGACGAAGGGGTTCCACTTTTTTGGCCCCCTTACCGGCCCGACCTCCTGGAGCAGCGAGTGCCTGCGGCGCAGGCGGACCACCACGATCGCCCGGGCCCGGCGCTGCTCCTGTCCGACCGAGGCGCCGCTTGGCGCTTGCTGGCCCTGCCGCCGCGGGGGCCCGTGCCCACCGCCTGCCCGTGGTGCGTCGCCGCCGGATTCTGTTTTTTTTTGTGTGTTAGTGTAAAAATAAAAAAATCAACGGTGGGCAAACTTCGCACTCTGGCCCCCAAGAGCCTCCAAGGACGCCCGAGAATTTCATAACATCCTCTTCTCTTGGACGCTGGATGACTTCCTCTTTCTTTCTTTTTTTTTGCAGCGCTGGGCAAACTTTGGGCAAGGCTCGTAGCGTCGTTGGATTCAGGCCCCCCGTCCTATCCGCCGCTCCAGATCGAGGACCGAGAGCCCGCGGCGCCTCTTGGCACTCGTCGTTTGGCCCGCGGAGGCCCCCGCGTGGACTCCTCGGGGGCCTGCCGCGAAGCCTTCCTATATAGCACCTCCCGGCATCTCCGGAGGCTTCGGGGCACCTCCGTTGGAGGAATCGGGGGCCCCCAAACGGGGTGGTGACCACACCGTGTCATAAGTCAGTGGGGACTTGGGGTCACCGCGCGGTCTTGGGACTCGGATCGTTCTCCCAGGACGTCTCGGGCGACACGGGCCTCCGAGGTCCCAAAACCGTGCGCTGACGGACCTCCTCCCTCCTCCCTCCTCCCTCCTCCCTCCTCCTCCTCCTCCCGCCTCTTTCCTCCCTCCTCCCTCCTCCCTCCTCCCTCCTCCTCCTCCTCCTCCTCCTCCTCCTCCTCCTCCTCCCCTCCCTCCTCCTCCTCCCTCCTCCTCCTCCTCCTCCTCCTCCTCCTCCTCCTCCTCCTCCTCCTCCTCCTCCTCCTCCTCCTCCTCCTCCTCATCCCTCGGGGGAGCTCGAGGTCACTGCGCGGTCGGTCACCGCACCGTGTCGGGACTCCAAAGAGGGTGCTTCTATATGGTTTCTGTGCGACCTGGGCGTCCAGAGAGGCCGCGGCTGGAGAGCGGCCCCCTGGAGAGCACTCACGCCAGGAAGGGTCCGCGGTCGTCCATCATCATCGTCCTTCTTCATCTCCTTGGGGATGGGAAGTCCTCTGTCCATTTTTTTGTTTCTCTCTCTCTCTCTCTCTCTTTCTCGCTCTTTGTGTTGTTGTTGTTTATCTCTCGCTTTCTCCCTCTCTCTCTCTTTTCTCTTTTTTTGTTTCTCTCTCTCTCTCTATTTCTCCCCCTCTCTTTCTCCTTGTATTTCTTCATTGTGCGTGTTTTTTCTATGTTTGTTCTCTCTCTCTCTCTCTCTCTCCTTTCTTCTGCTCCTCATCCTGGGGCCCCTGCGGGAGAGGACAGGGAAATCCTCGAATCACTCTGGCCCCCCGTTCCCCCCCCCTCGTCCTCCTCTTCGTCGTCGTTCTCCTTCTCATCTTCCTCCTCCTCCTCCTCCTCCTCCTCCTCCTCATCCTCCTCCTCCTCCTCATCTTCCTCCTCTTCCTCGACGGCGGCGGCGATTGCGGCGGTGACGAGTCACGACGATGACGACGACGACGACGACGACGACGACGACGACGACGACGACGAACCCCCCTCACCAGTTCTGGGCGTTCGGCCTCGGCGTGCTCGTCTGGCGCATCGGGGAGGGGCTCAACGACGTGACGATCGAGGCGATCTGCCCCGAGATGCTCCCGCCCGAGCAGTTCGAGATCTCCAGCGCCATCCGGGCGTCCATGTTCCTTGTCGGGAGGGGGGGGGGTGCGTGTCCAGGATCTCTGGACGCCCGAAATGGGTACGGAAAGAATGGGTACGATGCCCAACAGCAGTTCCTGTTCATTTTGAACGGGACTCGCTGTCCGCGCCGCCGCGGCCTGTGTCCATTCGAGACAGAAGGCCGCCTGCCCAACAGCGGCCGCTGTTGGTTTGGGACAACATTTGTTGTTGGGCACTGTGCCTATTCTTTCGGTATCCATTTCGGGTGTCCAAAGGATCGAGATTCGAGGACCGGGGCTTCTGTCGCGTGTTCGATTTCCCTGGGCGGTCCGGTCGCCGCGGCGGGATGTTTGTCGACACCTTGGTGCGAGCGCCTCCGCGGAGAGGTCCGGGGGCCGATGTTGCCCCAGAGCTCCTCGGGCGGCTCGAAACAGTTGCGCTGAGATGTTCTTACAGTCGGGGCGTTGACCTAAGGAACCCTAAATAAGGAACGAGGCCCCTTTTTTCCATAAGTTAAACTTCGATTCCCTACCGAAAGCATAAGGATAACCTGAGGCAAGCTGTGAAAGACTTCAGGAACGCGGAGCCCCTCCCCAACCAAGAGGGTTCCTTCTTCAGGGCCCCGACTGTAGCATCCAAGGGTTTCTGCGCCCAGGGTCGGTTTTACCCCAGACCTCGAGAATGGATCGCCGAGGTCCACCATTCTGGAGCGTTTCTTCTTCCATCCTGGATGTCCTTGTTTGTCCGGAGTGGAGGTTCGACCTCCAGAGTGGAGGTCTGCGATCCTCTAGGATGCTCGGCGTCCAGAAGCCGCTTCTGGGCCCTCGGGAGGTCGACGCGGGAGGAAAGCCTGGCTGGCCCCTGGGACGCCCAGGGAAGGGAGCACTTCCATCTCGGAGGTCGAGCCTCCGCTTTGGAGGGCAGCACGCCCAGGATGGAGGGGGAGAGGCACCCAGAGTGGAGGTCGAGCCTTCGTTTGCGAGCTGCTCGAGTTTCTGGGCCGGCGGCTCGAAGAAAACCAGCCGAGCCGTCGCCGGCTTGGGGCGTGGGCGTGGGCGTCAGCGCCCTCGCCGCGCGGTGGGGCGCCGAGTTCAGCACCGCCACGCACCGTGGAACAAAAATCACAAAACAAAAACACACACACACACACCACACACACACACACTTACACACACACACGCACACACACACACACGCACACACACACACACACACACACTTACACACACACACACTTACACACACACTTACACACACACTTACACACACTTACACACACTTACACACACTTACACACACGCACACACACGCACACACACACACACACACGCACACACACAAAAAAAACGCAGGCCAGCTCCGGACCGCCTTCGGGCGCGAGGCCGCGCAGACTTCCCTTGCTGCGCTGGCCGACGAGCCGGCGCGCCAGGCGCGCTGGCGGAGGCGCCCCGGGCGGGCGGCGCGCGGGGCTACGCGGTCGGCTGCGTCGTCGCCCTGTCGTGGGCCCCGTTCTCACTGGGTGGCGCGGGCGGGCGGCGGACCGCCTCTGCAGTGCCAGAGGCAGAAGGAAGGAGAGACCGAGCGGCGCGCGGCGCGCGGAGACTATGCGCTCCGGTCCCTGGACAAAAAGTGCCCACAGCCAGGGCGGCAAGACACTGCGACGTGATAACAACCGCAGCAGCATGATGCACTTGCCTCGCACCCCTCCCCCTCAAAACCCAAAGTTGAAGTGTCCACATTTTGTCCCTGGCGCGCGGCCTGCCGCCTAACCCCGCCAACATTGAGTTGGGGGAAAGGGGGGTATACATATTCGTTCGACGTGATTTGACGACGAGTTGTCTTGGCGCGACAAGTGTGGACACTTTTTGTCCGCCCACCGTCACCTTGCTTCCGCTACTCTGGTTGACATTCCGACTCGAGGCTGTGGCGGCCATGCGCCCCGAACGGCGCGAAATGTGGTGCGGACACTTCCGCTTCGGAAGAGTGGGGCGGCTATTTCCGCAGAGGTACGGCGGAAACAGTGGCGGCAAAGTCGGGCGTGAATCGACACTAGGAGGACGTGGCAAGTAGGGTGAGTCGTTCCGCCTTACTTGCGATACGAAACCGTCCAATGCGGGGCGAATCAGGAGTCAGGGAAGGGCGGCCTGGGAACTGCCCGTCACGCGCGCGCCTTTCACGAGCTCGGTGTCCAACGCAGCAGGCACAGAGCAGCACCCCCCCGACAGTCTGTTCATAAGACGGCTCTCCGTGTCCATGGCCAGAGGCCCGAATTCACGCAGAGGTTCACGGCGTCGTTCTGGGACAAGCGAGGCTCTTTGGAAGATGCCATTGGGGATCTTCGAGCGCATTCGCCGCAGCACTCGGGCTTCTTGACAGAAGCGCCCCCGCATGGCGGCCTTGGACAAGTCAAGCCACGCTGCATTTGGTTGAAACTCGGGATGCGTGCCGCAGGGCTGCAGACAATGCGGGCGAACGCAGATCCACCAAATTGAGCAGGACATCCGGCAAGCGGCACTGGGAAAACTTGCGAGATGAAGTCGTTCGTGGGCGAGCAGGGAATCCACCCGGAACCTCCGCAGACCCAGGTCTGTCAAGAAGGTATCAACCAAAAAGCTGGATTGCAATTTGAGTGGCGCGGCGGGAAGTGCGAATGCCATGACGGATTAGTTCGAGTAAGCGACGCCTTGGGTGCCTGAGATTATCAAGTGAAGCGAGGCTTGAGCCGAATTGCGCTGCCAAGCAGTACTGTCTCAGTCTACTCAGGCTGAACGAAGGCGGGATTCCATCAAATTGAAGGCTGGGAAGGCGACGGGGACTGACGGCGCGCTGGCGGGCTTATGGGCACGCAGTGGTGGAGGACAATACTGCGCGTGGCATTCTGCGTTCTTGTGGCCAGCAGCGCTGGTGAAAAATATCAAATCCAGAATCACGGAGACTGGTAGGGGTTGGGCTTCTGTTCAACAAGGTGGGCGCAACGTTTCCAGTATGCTACAGGCCAGTGCCATCATTGCTGGCTCGGTGCTGGGTGTAGGTTTATCTGGGGCCGCGAGGATGCGCACTTCGCAGTGCGGTTCTGGCATCCTGGCGCCAAGGCAGTTCTCACTGTATCACAAGATTGCGCGCAGCGGCGCCAATTCCGTGATCAGGCGTGGGCAGCACTTTGGGGCCTTGAGAATTTGGGCCACAAGGCGACAACGACGTCGCCTTCGGCAACAAGTGGCTGCGTCAGTTCAGAGAGTGGCCCGTCGCATTTCCAAACATTGTCACTGCGGGTGTCCAGTCACAACGACTCCCTGCATGGGGCCACAAGTATTTTTGCCGACCCGGCCACGCGTTCTTCAGGACGAATGGTTGTCTTGTTCCCATGAGAACAGCACGCAGGAGGCCGATAGAGGACTTGGGCTTCTCATTAAAAGCCAATGTTCGAGGCGGCCCTCGCGGTTACGATTGGGTATGCGTCGAATTCCTCGTCGGCTCAGGGCTTCCCCAAGAGGGGGTAGAGAAGATAATTCCCCTGGTTACACAGCGGGGAAAATATAACAAAGTCAACAGATGATTTTCTTGAATGATCAGCAGACGGCAACGCCCAAATATAATCATTAAGTGAGATTCGCTTTCCAATGTTGGCTCCCTGCGCAGGCGTGCACCATGGGCCAAGTTACCAATGTGCCAGACGTTGACTTGCACGTTCGGTGGCAACACTGGGAGGCGGATGCCACTTAATGGCCAGGAGCTCTTCCAAGTTAATCCTTCAGTGGGCCGCTGGCGTGGGCGGTCCCAGGTCATGCCTTACGGCTTCGTTCCCACAGTCGGATGGCCAACATGTACCGCGCAGTGCAGACGACACTGCATTCCGTAACATTGACAGGCAGACGGCACTTAATGGGACGGGCCCCGCCCGCTTCGATTCAACATTTTTGTTGGCTTCCATCTCTGCGCCACTTTCTGTGAGATCTGCGCGACTTCTCGGCCTGGTTCGGACTTGCGAGACATGCGGGACTTGGGAGACCCGTGGGGCCAGTGGGACTTGTGGGACCTGTGGGGCCTGTGGGGATTGGGGGACTCGCGAGACTTGTGGGGCTTGTGGGGCCTGTGGGACCTGTGGGACCTGTGGGACCTGCGGGACCTGTGGGACCTGTGGGACCTGTGAGACCTGTGGGACCTGCGCGACTTCTCGGCCCGGCTCGGGCCTGCGAGACATGCGGGACTTGGGAGACCCGTGGGCCAGTGGGACTTGGTGGACCTGTGGGAATTGGGGGACTTGCGAGACCTGTGGGGCCAGCGGGACTTGTCAGACCTTTGGGACTTGCGCAGCTATTCGGCCCTGCTGTCCTGCGAGGCCTGCGGGCCGTGCTGGATTTGTGGGGCCAGTGGTATATGTGGGTCTTGTGGGGCCTGCGAGACCTGTGGGACCTGCGGGACCTGCGGGACCTGGCACACTTGGGGGACGTCGTCCAACGAACCGTGCCCGCGATCGGGCGGGGGTCGGGTTCAGTATGTAAGTTCAAACGCCTGATGAAGTTTACGTTGCTTGGCGGTCCCACTTAACGATCGGGCCGCGGCAGGCTTGATGTGTAAGTTCGTACACTGAACGCACTTCGCGTTAAGTAGCGTGCCCGCTTCACGATCGGGCGTTTTCGTATACATAGGACAGGGAACATCGATCGGTAATGCATAGTCCGAAATACAACAACAAAAAAACATGATTAAAGCCAGCTTGATTTAACGATCGGTGCTTCCAGTTTTTTCACACACACACACCAAACGCGAACGCAGCCGATCGTTAAGTGGGCACGCCGCTTAACGCGGAATGCGTTCAGTGCGTGGAGTTACACATCCAACCTGCCGCGGCCCGATCGTTAAGTGGGGTCGCCGGGCAAAGTGAACTGCATCATGTGTGTGAATTTATATGTTGGGCCCGCCCCCCGCCCAATCCTTGAGTAGCTTCGCCAGACAACGAAAAGTGCGCCCCATGTTTGAACTTGCACATCGAGCGCGCCCCCGCCCAATACGATGATGCGCCCGACAACGACGGGCGCGTTTGCGGCCCAATGGGGCCCAGAACGCACCCGTTGTTGTCAGGACCGGCGTGCGACACGACGACGACTACGACGACGTCGACAACGACGACGTCGACAACGACGACGACGTCGTCGACGACCACGACGACCACGACCGCGGCGACCAAGGCGACCACCACGAAGTCGACATGCGTTCTCGCCACATCGCTGGCCACTGCTTAGCTTTGGCGCCAACACTTGCCTTCCCCCACTCCAACGCCCTGTTTGGGCCGCGTCTCGGTCTGGCCGACCACTCTCCCTTCAGCAAGGAGAGGCCCCCGGTGCGGCGCTTCCCCCCCTTCGGGAGGGGGATCAGCCCGAGTGGCACAGTTTGCCGACGCTATTTAGCAATTGCTGCCACATGGAACGCACCCAAGCATGATCGACACCCATGCAGTTGGGAAACAAGTTATGACAATCTCAACCCGACGATCATCTTGAATGTTTTGCAGACGGCAACGCCCAAATATAACCATTAAGCGAGATTCGCTTTTCAATGTTGGCACCCTGCGCAGGTGTGCACCATGGGCAAGGTTACCGATATGCCATACTTTGACTTGCAAGCTTGGTGGCAACATTGGGAGGCGGATGCCACTTAATGGCCGGGTGCTCTTACAAGTTGGTCCTTCACTGGGCCGCTGGTGTGGGCGGTTCCAGGTCATGCTTCGCGGTTTCGTTCCCGCAGTCGGATGGCTAACATACACCGCGCAGTGCAGACGACACGGCGATCCGTAACATTGACAGGCAGACGTCGCTTAATGCGACGGGCCCCGCCCGCTTCGATACAACATCGTTTTGGCTTCCATCCGTGTGCTATTTTTGTAGTTAACTCTTTTCACGGGGATGTATGACTGGTCGGGGGCCAAGGCTGTTCCGCGTCGCGAGGAAGTCGCGACGGCTGGTTCTCCTTTGTTTTAAGCCTTTGGCGCCCTGCGGCTTACGTCGGGCACCGAGACCACAAAATGATCTGGCCCGGTGGTCGTGGACAGTTGAGGAGATTTTGCATTGGGCGAACAACGACGTCGGAGGCGAAGGGGGTTGCAGGGGCAGGGGCATGTGAAGGGGGAGAAGAATCAACTAGGGGCAAGGGGAGTTTTTTTTGTTTGGGGTGGCGAGGGGGACGGTTGGAGTCCTAGTTGTTAACTGCGCGGTCGGTTTGAACAAGGATCGCCGTAAGTTATGAATTATGCGCTCGGGCTCCAGCTGGCGGTAAACGTCTCTGCGCGTTATGGGAATATGTCATTAATTTACAGTCTCCCGTAAGGACCGCGGGCAAGGACTGCCACAGCCGAGCTCTGCGACCCAAAAGATCCAGAGGCACCGCAAGACAACAGTTTGCAAGCAGACCATATCAAATAACACGTATGCAGGTCAATGCCGCCAGCGTGGGCTCGCCGAGGGATTGTGGTTTGAGAGAAAACAGAGGAAGGAGCAGGAGGGGTGGTGGGGTGGTGGAATGGTGGCGGAGGGGGAAGCGGGAAGACCAGTCGCTCAAGCATCGCCCAGATTGAAGTTCGGCCTCCATGTTGCAACGTTTCTTTCAGCTTTGAATGTGTTTGTTTCATGTTGGTGGTTCCTGGAGGTTCGGGGGCCTTTGGGGGTAAGGGTAAGGGGAAGGGGAAGGGGAAACGGGGGCTGAGGGTGGCAGGTGGAACCCAGTTACCCGTGGGGGCGCGAAGATAACCGCGCCTCGCGTATCGCGGCTGGGGCTGGCAAGGCGCACCGTTCAAGGGGGGTGGCGCGGGAGCGCGAAGGCACGTGCGCGCCGCGCACCGCGGGGCGCGACGCGACGTGTGGCGACCCAGGTACAGTCGGGGCCCTGAAGAAGGAACCCTTTTGGTTGGGGAGGGGTTCCGCGTTCCTTACAGTAAGTGTTTCACAGCTTGCCTCAGGTGTTCCTTATGTTTTCGATCGGAAATCGAAGTTTAACTGATGGAAAAAAAGGGGCATCGTTCCTTATTTAGGGTTCCTAAGGTCAACGCCCCGTCTGTAATCACTATCGTTTAACCGATGCCCATCCCCATCCCCACTGGGCCACGGGATCTCAGCCCCACCATCCCGCCCCCCCCCCCCGTAGCTTGGGATATGCCCGCACAGCCCGAAGGGAATCTCATGTACGATTCCGGGTCGAGGATTTACAAACCCCCCCCAAATCGGATGGGTCGCAGGGTTCCACAGCCCCCTCCTTTTCCACCAGATGGGATGGAGGGGACGACGACGACGACGACGACGACGACGACGACGACGACGACGACGACGACGACGGCGACGACGACGACGACGACGACGACAACGGCGACGGCGACGGCGACGGCGACGGCGACGGCGACGGCGACGGCGACGGCACGGGCGACGGCGACGGCGACGACGACGAAGACCTTAACGACGATGATGACGACGACGACGACGACGACGCCGACGCCGACGACGCCGACGACGACGACGACGACGACGACAGGAGCACTGGCACCCCCCTCCACCACGCCACGCCCACAGGGCCACGACCACAGGGGAGCGGGGGGGGCGATCCCATTCGCGAGGCTTTCGCGAGATTCACGGGCGTACTCATCCAGCGGGGGGGGGGTCGGGGACGATCCCATCAGCACGATGGGTGGGGGGCCGGAGCCCTGGATCATATATTCCCATGTAGGGGAGTCAATCGGCCAGTGGGGCCAATGCCACGCCAGTGGGGATAGGGATTGGTTAAGCCCTGCTCATGTGAAGCGGGAGGCGGGGAGCGGGGGTGGGAAAGGCAGGGGATGCGCGAGGGGGCGAGGGACAGGGAGAGTGTAGCTCAGCAGCGACAGCAGATACGCACGTGTACATCGAGGAACAAATCGTGACATAAACGTAGCAGCTCGGAGGTCCGCGCGGATTTATTGGATCGGCGTTGGACCCCCCTCCCTGGCGCGCGGAGCCCAAGACATCCGCACGGACCTCAGCTCTTTTGTGATTAAGTCATTGTTTGTCCCCTTAATACATGGATTCTCGTCGGCTTCGGGATGCATGGCGCGAGCGTTCGTGACGCGAAGCTGACCTCGCGAACTAAAAGACCGTATTCATGTACGTGGCTGGGCGCGTACGTCTTGTGCGGTGTGCGGTGTGCCTCGTACAGGGGAGGGCGAACAGAGAAGGGCGTTGGGGAGGGGCCTGATGGGCTACGTCATGATCGCAGTCTTCGCGGATCTCCATTACAGTTGGCTGTACACCGGCTACTTGGTCATGATGTTCGCCTGCGCTGTCCCGCCCCTTCTGCTCATCCAGCAGGACCCGAGGATGAGGAGGAGGAGGAGGAGGAGGAGGAGGAGGAAAAGGAGGAGAAGGAGGAGGAGGAGGAGGAGGAGGAGGAGGAGGAGGAGAGGGATGAGGAGGAGGGACGGAGGGGCGGAGGTAGGAGGGGGGGGGGGGGGGGGCAAGGAGGAGGGGGCGAAAGGAGGCAGGAGGCGGGGGCGGAAGGGAGGGATGGACGGTGTGGAGCAGGCGGGCGGAGGAGGGATGGCGCTCTCCGCTGGGCGACGAGTCGCCAGCGAAGGCGGCGACCCGTCGCGGCACAGATGGGAGCGCGCCAGCCTGCTCTGGCCGGCTGCTGGCCGCTTGCCGGCGGCGCGCCGGGGCATCCGCTCGGCGCGACCGCGCTCCCGGCGGCCCGCTCGGAGGAGGGTGGATCGGGGGCGGCAAAGAGGGGGGTGATGACTAGGGGGGGGGGGGGGGCGATATCATGGCGGGGGCCATGATGTTTCCCCAGATTTCATGGCGCCTCTTCTTGTTTCACTACGTCCCCCAGGCCGCGCACATGCCGCCGGTCATGATTTGCACCCCCCCTTCGTGGACACCCCCCTCTTGGCCGCTCCCGAGTGGAGGGGAGGGGGGGAGGAGCGGGGCGAGGCAGCGCAAACGTGGATTGTGAGACGCGCGGGTGAGCGACGGGTCCCCGCTGCCGTGCGAGATCCGGCGCGCACCGTCGACGACGTGGGGCGGCGCTGGCTCCGTGATTTCGGAGGGGAGGCGCTGATCGACGAGTCCTTTTGTTTGATGGGCCTGTTTTCCACCACCACTACCATAAGTCGGATGGGGGAAGGAGGAGGAGGACGAGGAGGAGGAGGAGGAGGAGGACCCCTTCCCCCTCCAACTTAAGGTGGTGGTGGTGGAAATCAGGCCCATCATTTGTTGGCTTCCCCCCCCTGAGCCCCCGCATGCCAGATCCACGGATCTGTAATCCGTGTTAGCGTGTGCCTGATTGAGGGGGCGGGGCGTGGCGGTGCTCAGGCAGCAGGGCTTGACCTGTCTGGGGGATTTCGCCCGCAAGTCCTCTCCTCGATCGCAGCCGCTTGCCGGTCTCCCGAGGGGGCTCCTCCTCGGCGCGGCAGGGGCGTTGCTCTACCGAGCCCACGACCCGACCTCCTCGGAGCGCGGATCTGCCGCAGCACCTGCGAGTCGTCAGAGGCCCGCGCTGGCGTCGTGCGTGGCCCAGCTCGTGGAGTCGTGCCGCGGTCCCCTGCTCATGACGGGGCCGCTGGCACGGGATGCCTCTCGGGGCGCCCGCGCCCGCCTCGTGAGCCTCTGAATGCCAAGATGCTCCCTTGCGAGGGCGACGCGCATGTTCGCGAGGGCGGCCGGCCTTCTCGGCGGCCGACGCACGGGCGGCGCACGGGCGACGAACGCGCGACGCACCCGTCGTCGCGAAGGAGGGGGGGTCAGCACGCCGGTCGTGTTACTGGGCCTCAACATCTGGTGCAGTGCAAGCTCTGGAGATGCCCGCGAACATCCGATGAGACGCCCAGTTCAACATCAGCGGCTGCTCACACCTCCAATATGTTGCCTCTGCGTGGGCAGGCTCCTCGAGGCACTCCCCGTCCTCGCCACCACGTCGCTGGTCCTGCGTCGGCACCCTTGTGCACCTGGCTTGTGCCAGAACGCGTGGTCGTCGACCGCGATGGGAGGGATCCACGGCACGGATCTTCGCCGCCGTGGCCAAAATTTCGACCCTCTCGACGTGCCGTCGTGACACCTGGCCAGGAAAGAGTGGCCTCCACCGCCGCCTCCTACAGACAATCCCTGACGACGGGCTCCAGAAGACCCATCCCCTCGCAGCCAGACCGTGCGAAAAAGTCGGCCCGTTTGTTTCGCAGCTCCCTTTCGGTGGCCTGCTCTAGCGAGTGGTGGGAGCCTTGCCGCACAATCCACGGCGGCGCTCCTACCAGTCCGTTGAGCCGCCGTCTCCGCAGGCGTGCGTGCCTGGCCTTGGCTCGTTCGTGGCAGCGGGCCCCCGATGTGTTCCTTGAGGCACCAACGAGCCGACTACGATCTCGCCTGGACTCGGTGCTCTCGGTCTTCTTGGCCCACGCGGTCGACCTGCACGTGCGCCGTCTCCTGCCCGGTCTCTGCGCGGGCGGGGCCCGCTCCCCGCTCTCGCATGCGCGCCTGCCGCCGCCGCCGCCGCCGCGGCCTCCTGCGGCTGGGCACCGCCCAGCCTGTCGGCGGCTTCGGTGAGCTCGGCACGGTAGAGGGAAACAACTAGTGAACGCCCCCCCCGCCCCCCAAAACTCAAGGTTGGCACGCGCGGGGGAGACTGCGGTCGAGGCGTAACTCATCAGACCCGCCGCCAGCTTTGAACATTGGGAGGAGGGGGCGGGCGTTCACAGATGAACGTGGCATGAGTGTTCGTTTTTTTTTCGAGGCCTGCAGTCTTGCCGTCGACACTGGGATCGCCTGCGGCGTCGGGCTGCGGCGTCGGGCTGCGGCGTCGGGCTGCGCCTGCGGCTGCGGCCTCTCCGCGGGCCTCCACGGCGCCGCCCACGGCGCCCTCCAGCGGTGGGCTGCTGCCCAGCCCAAGGGCGCCTGCGAGGGCGCGAAGCTATTCGCGTTTCGCGCTTCGCGCTTCGGCTCGGATGGCTTCTCATCCTCTTCTTCTCCCCTGGAAGGCGGCGCGAGAGCGCGAAGTTATTCGCGCTTCGCGCAGCGCGAAGCGCGAAGCGCGAAGCGCGAAGTTGGGAGCCCTTGCAGCCGCGCTGAGCTCTGCCGTGGCCTCCGCCGGCCAGCCCGTGACCGCAGCCGTGCTCTGGGCCAGGCTTCAGTCGGGCCTGTCCCTTTACAGGGGGATTTTCGACGAACCATAAAAAAAACCCAAACATAGTCCAAACATAGTCCAAACGTAGTCAGGGGATTATTTTTTGAGTATTTGTCGAGCCGTTTGGGATCATTTTTTTTGGGGGGGGGGGATGTATTACTGTTTCGTCGAAGATCCCCCTGTAGGGGGACACGCCCGACTTGAGGCCAGGCTGACGCCGCAGCCCGTCCCACGGCCGGGCACTGATCCCAAATGGCTCGAAAAATATTCGAAACATAGTCCCCAGACTATGTTTGGATTATTTTTGGACTATGTTTGGGGTATTTGTTTATTTGTCGTCGAAAATCCCCCTGTAGGGGGACGCGCCAGACTTCAGGCCAGGCTGACGCCGCAGCCCGTCCCACGGCCGGGTCCTGCGGGCACTCGGAGGGCCGCCCTGTGCGGCACCAGGTCTGCTGGCGCAGCCTCGCCTCGAAGCACGTCCTGCGAGGGGTGTGGCTGGTGCCCTTTCCTAGGGTTATGTCGGGCGTGTCCCCCTACATGGGGGGATTTTTAGGGGGCCACATGCGAACCCTACCCCTACCCCCCACGATTTCTGAAGGGGGAGGGTGGGGTTCACTTCGCTCGTGAGCTCCCGAACGAAGTGAACCCCACCCTCCCCCTCAGAAATCGTGGGGGGTAGGGGTAGGGTTCGCATGTGTGGCAGTGTGGCTGGTGCCCTTTCCTAGGGTTGTGTCGGGCGTGTCCCCCTACAGGGGGATTTTCGACGAGAAACAAAAAATACCCCCCAAACATGCCCCCGAAAGGTCAGAAAAATACTCAAACAAAAACTAGTCCCCAGACTATGTTTGGATTATGTGTTGATTATTTGTTGGGTATGTTTTTCATTTTCCGTCGAAAATCCCCCTGTAGGGGGACAGGCCCGACTTAATCCCAGGGCCATCGCGAGGGCGCGAAGTCAGTCGCGCTTCGCGGTCTGGGCGATATCAGAGCAGGTCGTGGGCCCCTCATCCTGTTCCTGGGGGGGCGCGGCGGCGCGGGAGCGCGGAGGTAGTCGCGCCTCGCGGAGAGCGAAGCGCGAAGACGGTTAGCCTTTCCCCTCTCAGGCCGACCTACAGTCAGTGTGCTGATGGAAGGAGCAGTCTGGGTTCAGAATGGGCTCGCGGCTGCATAGGTCCGTCCATGGTTGTACCTCGAGTAGGGGGCCGCATGCGAACCCTACCACTACCCCCCACGATTTCGGAGGGGTAGGGGGGGGTTCACTTCGTTCGGGAGCTCGCGAGCGAAGTGAACCCCACCCTCCCCCTCAGAAATCGTGGGGGGTAGGGGTAGGGACCGCATGTGGCCCCCTATCGAGCGCTCCTCGCGCGCCCCGGTGCTTGTGGGGCCAGCATGGGGCTTACCCCGGTGCGACTGGTACCATCCTGACTGCATGCCGCTTGCACCCCCAATCCCTGGCCTCGGCAGCCCTGCTCCTCGCCACCACGCCCGGCACTGCTGGGCACCGCCAGTCGTGGGCGCCCCGCTCCCAGATGGCGAGGGCACGGGGCACAAGGCGAGAGCGGGGTACACTTGCGTGCCTGAGAGGTGGCTTGTCCTGGGCCCGTATCGAGGAGTCCCTTCCTGCCGTGGGGCTGGAAGCCCCTGAAGCAAGCATGTGGCGCGTTCCAGACAGCAGGGTGTCGCCTTCGGCGCATCCTCGTCTTCGGCGGACGCCGGCGGGTGTCTAGCGGCGGCGGCGGCTTCGCCGGCGCACGGCCGCAGAAGGAAGGCTGAGACGCCAGCTTTTGAGGATCCTGCCAGGGTTTCCAGAGCTGGCCATGGAGAGCCAGAGAGGCTGCGGATGGGGGAGGAGGAGGAGGAGGAGGAGGAGGAGGAGGAGGAGGAGGAGGAGGAGGAGGAGGCGGAGGAGGAGGAGGAGGAGGAGAAGGTCGGTTGTGGTCCTCATAGCCCTGCTTGTGGGCGGTGCTCGTAGTTCAGCCTGTGGTCCTCGTTACTCAGCTGATTGCCCTTGTAGCTCTGCTGGAGGCTCTTGTAGTTCAGCATGTGGCCCTCGTAGTTCAGCCTGGGAACCTCGTGGCTCAGCCGGTGGCCTCGTAGCACAGCTGGTGGTTCTTGTAGTTCAGTAGGTGGCCCTGGCACCTCTCCTGGTGCCTCTCGGGGCTCAGCTAGAGGTCCTCGTAGCCGTGCTTGTGGCCCTACTGTAGTAGCTGTGCTTGTGATCCTCGTGGTGCAGCTGGTGGCCCTCATAGGCCTGCCGGAAGCCCCCCTAGTAGCTCATAGCGTGGCCCTGGCAGCGCTGCTGATGCTTTTTGCAGCTCAGCTTGTGGCCCTCGCAGCCCTGCTTGTGGCCTCGTAGTTGAGCGCGGGGGCCTCGTAGCTCAGCTCGTGGCGCTCGCAGCTTTGTTGGTGGCTCTAGTAGCTCAGCAGGTGGCCCTGGTACTTCTCCTGGCGGCTCTCGTCGCTCAGCTAGAGGTCGTCGTAGCCCTGCTCATGGCCCTCGTATGCCGTGCTTGTGGTCCTCGTACTTCAGCTGGTGGCCCTCGTGGGCCTGTTGGAAGCCCCAGTAGCTCAGAGCGTGGCCCCGGCAGCGCTGCTGGAGGGCAGCTCAGGCAGTGGTCCTCGTAGCCCCGCTTGAGGCCCTCGCAGTTGAGCAATGCGGTCCTCGTAGCTCAGCTTGTGGCCCTCGTAGCTTTGCTGGTGGCTCTTGCAGCTCATGGTGCCACAGCTGGTGGCCCTCAACGCTGAGCTGGTGGTTCTCGAAACTCCTGCTGGCGGGCCTCGTAGTGCAGCGAGTGGTTCTCGAAACTCTGCTTCTTGCCCTCGTAGCTCAGCTGGTGGTCCTCGAAGCTCTGCTTCTTGCCCTCGTAGCTCAGCTGGTGGTCCTCGAAGCTCTGCTTCTTGCCCTCGTAGCTCAGCTGGTGGTCCTCGAAGCTCAGCTGGTGGCCGATGTGGCTCTGCTGGAGGTTTCCGGGGGTCTGCTGGCCCTTGAAGCTCTGCTTATGGCCGTCGAAGCTGCGCAGGTGGTCCTCGCAGCTCCGCGCGCTGCCATGGAAGCTCTTCTTCTGGCCGCGATAGCTCTGCGGGTCGTCTGGGCAGTTCTGCTGGTGGCCCTCGGAGCTCTGCTGGGGGCTCCAGGAGGTCTTCGGGTGGCCCTTGCAGCTCAGCGCGTGGTCCTGGAGGCTCTGCTGGTGCCTCTCGTGGCTGCTCTGGTGGTCGTCGGAGCTGTGCTCACTGCCCTCGGAGCTCTGCCGGCGGCCGTCGGAGCGCTGTGGGTGGCCATGCGCCTGGGGCCAGCAGGCCTGGCACGTCGTACGCATAGCCGAACTCGTCGCTGCCGCAGTCGTCGTACTCGTAGCAGCCGTTGCCGTCGTGCGTGTGGGCGTCGTGCTCGTGGGTGAGTTTCCGGCGGTGTGCTGGTGGTGCTGCTGCTGCAGCAGTGGGACCTCCACGGCGGTGTACTGCATCTGGTGAGCTGTCGGGTCATGGCCTGGGGCTTCGTCGCGAACGCCATCGCAGCGCTACACTTGAGAAGCGGTCGTGGCTCCTCGCGCTGCCGCGGCGGGCAGCGTAGCCGGCACGCGCGCATCCCTGCGCGCACTTGCCTCGGCCAGCAGGTCCTGAAATTACCAGCCTCGAACGTACCCCTATCCCTAAGATTGACACGCCAAAAGGCGATGCCAATCTCAGGGATCTCGCGCCCTCAAAAGATGAGGGAGTCCCCTCAGATTGGCATCGTGATGAGGAGGTGCCCAGCATAGGGATAGGGCATATGTTCCAGGCTGGTACTGAGAGCCTGTCCGTCGGACTCGTACTCGACGCGAACTCGTAGCTCCTCGTCTCCAGCCCGGTTGTGAGCGCCCGCCGTGCCGCCAGCGCGCGGCGGCGGCCAGCAGGCTGAGGCCGGCCCCGCGGCCCCAGGGCCCCGAGTGCGGGGGATGGATCCCGCAAACGATCTTCTTTCTCCTCCTCCTCCTTCTCCTCCTCCTCCTCCTCCTCCTCCTCCTCCTCCTCCGCCTCCGCCTCCTCCTCCGCCTCCTCCCCCTCCTCCTTCTCCGCCGTCAGGCCAGGGTATTTTGAAGATTCCCTGCAACCACGGCCAAGCGGTGCAGCCTGGGCGCCGTGTGTCACCTCCTGAATGAGGTGAATTGCCGATGATCCTGTGTGGGCTGAGGCATATCCCCTCCCCTCCCCCCCCTTCCCCTCCTGGGGGCGATCGCTGTCGTGGCGCGAGCCAGGAGGACCCTCCGCCCCCCTCCAATTCGGACCCCTGTGAAAGAGAAGGCGGCACGGCCCCGGGGTTGAAAAGCCCAGGGGTGGACGATGTGCGCACCCCAGGCTTAAGTCCCTTCCTCCCTCCCCCCCGCTTCCAGCTCCTCCCGGGTCCTCGTAGCCAGGTTTGGGCCCTGGTGGTTGGGTCCTTCGCCTCTTCCCTGTGGCACCTCCAGGTTGAGCAGAGGAGGAAAAGGTACCCATACCTCTACCCTTCGCCCATTGTCCCCTGTTTGGGCCTCCTCGGACGCCCTCGTCGCCACCGTCGGATTCGCTTCGAAATTCTGGTCAGAACGCACCCCTGGAGAGGTCCGGGGAGTAGCGGTATCGGTACTTACCTTCTGGTCTCCCCAGTTGATGTTGGCGATAGTGGTCCGTGCGCCACCGTTGCCCGTTCCTCTCCCCCTCTTCGGGGGTGATGGAGTGGCAACGTGAGGTGCTGAGGTGCTGCTGGGAAGGCTCGCCTGGTCCCAGCAGCACCTCAGTACGGGGTCCATGCTCGTTGATCTCTGAGGTGCGCCGCCGATGACACTACGGAAGCGGGGCCCGCGGCATACGGTCTTCAACCACCTTGGTCGGAGCGCTCATCGCCGTGGGATTGAAGGCAGAAGCGACGCGGGGTGCAGGCTACGGGCTACCGGCTCTGTTTCTTTCGTGGTCGCAGCTTCCAGCTTGCCGGGTCAGGTCCAAGGAGGAAATTTGCTGGGCAGAGGTTCGGGCCCTCCGTTTCCCGCAAAGGATTCGAGATTCGTTGACTTGCTGCGGCCTTGTCTGTGTCTTGGGCCTGGCGCAAGCCAAGCATAGGCAGCAGCCTAGGTTTTTTATTGCCTTTTTGAGAGTGGACGGTCCCTCGTTGTGCCTGTTTTCCCAATTGTTCGCGGCCCGAACTGACGCGGTGCGTCATGGCGCAGTGCGCCTGTGGTGCGTGTTGGCACTAGCTTGGTGCTGTGCACCCCCCTTCGGGGCCTTTCATTCATTCATTCATTCATTCACTCACTCACTCAGTCATTCATTCATTCATTCATTCATTCCTCCTCCTCCCCCTCCTCCTCCTCCTCCTTCTCCTCCTCCTCCTCTTATCCGATGCTTTGACTTGGTTCGGGTGTCCCGAAGAATATCGCACGAAAGATTGAGATAGATCGGTTCCAGGTTGTCGAGGACATTGTGCTGGCCTCTCAGCTCTGCCACGAGGCCAAAAGCACCGTGCAGACGCCGGCACGCGCACCTTGCGCAGAAGCCTCGCGGGTCACAGGGGCCGCCAAGCTTGCCATGCGGGCGTCGTCGTATCTGTCCTCCTCCTCCTCCTCATCCTCCTCCTCCTTCTCCTCCTCCTCCTCCTCCTCCCCCCTCCTCCTCCTCCTCCTCCTCCTCCTCCTCTCCTCCTCCTCCTCCTCGCCCCTCCCCCTCCTCCTCCTCCTCCTCCTCCTCCTCCTCCTCCGCCTCCTCCTCCTCCTCCCCCTCCTCCCCCTCCTCCTCCTCCTCCCCCTCCACCTCCTCCTCCTCCTCCTCCTCCTCCTCCTCCTCCTCCCTCGTCCTCCACCTCCTCCCCTCCTCCTCCTCCTCCTCCTCCTCCTCCTCCTCCTCCTCCTCCCTCAGGTTGCGTCGACTCCTCATCCTGCTCCTTACTCTCCGCGCTTCGGAGCGGGTCTCTTAGCGCGCCTCGTCTCCGTCCTCGGCGCCGGCGCCGTCGTGGTCGTGGTGCAGTTTATTCTGCTCGGGACTTGTTTCGTATCACGCAGTGGCCTCCCTCTCTCCCTCGCTTCTCCTTCCCATCTCGCCGCTTCGAAGGACTCCCCCCGGATCACGTCCCGCAGCTCGACCATGTCGCGCCAATCCTTCTGGCTCTCGTGCGTCGACGCGTACGTGAGGCCGTCCCTGACGAGGAAGATAGCAGGAGCAGGAGCTTTTGATGTGTGCTCGCTATTTGTGGCCTCCTGGGGCATGGCCACGGCTGTACGCTTTTCGCGAAGCTGGTGTCCAGGAGAGACCATCAGCGCGAAAACGGAGGGATAGGGAGGAGGAGCAGGAGGAGGAGGAGGAGGAGGAGGAATAGGAGAGGGGGAGAAGGAGGAGGAGGAGGAGGAGGAGGAGGAGGAGGAGGAGGAGGAGGAGGAGGAGGAAGGGGAAGGAGGAGGAGGAGGAGGAGGAGAGAGGAGGAGGGAGAAAGGGAGGAGAAGGGGGAGGGGGAGGGGGAGGGGGCTGCTGCTGCTGCGGAGGAGGAGGAGGAGGAGAGGATGAGGATGAGGTGGAGGAGGACCAGTGCAAACCCATGGCCCATCAACGATGCTGGAATACACACTTCCTTCAAGATCCCTTTTCATAGGCCACATACAAAGGATCATTTCCACAAGCGTGCAACAATTCCATTCTCAGGATTTGAGAACCAGCGAAAAACCTGCTTGCTACGTCCTGGCGATCCTGAATCGTTCCACAACACTACTCCTGGTATATCAACACCGCGAATCAACGTGAGTAATTGTTGCGCCCCGACAGTCCTGAGTTTTCGAATGCGCGCGACGCTCAGACGAGAGCCACAATTTTGAAGCAAGGCACCCTCAATCCGTGAAGCTCTTGCAATTGTTTTAAACGAATGTGCGCGGCGCTCAGGCAAGAGCCACATTTTGAAAACGACCCGCCCTCAATACGTTAAAGTCTTGCAGTTTTTTAATACGAATGTGCGCGGCGCTTAGGCGAAGGCCACATTTCCGCCCTCAACCCATGAAGCTCCAAGCGAATTTTTAGAGCGAGTTGCCAGTGCTCGCGGCGCTCAGGCGAGAGCCACATTTTGAAAACGACCCGCCCCAATCCGTGAACCTCGTGCAGATTTTTAGAGCGAATGCGCGCGGCGCTAAGGCGAGAACCACATTTTGAAAACGACCCGCCCTCAATACGCGAAGCTCTTACAACTTTGTAAATCGAATGTGCGCGGCGCTCAGGCCAGAGCCACATGTTGAAAACCACCCGCTTTCAATCCGTGAAGCTCCTGTAATTTTTTACAACGAATGCGCGCGGCGCTAAGGCGAGAGCCACATTTCGAAAACCACCCGCCCTCCTGGTGTGAAGCGGTTGCAACCTTAAAAGCTTCAGCATCATCTATGGTGAGGAAGTCTCAGGCGAAACGCTCGGCCCGCCCTTTCGACCAGCCTCGGGGTGCGACAGGGAGGAGTTACCACTAGGGAGAAGCAATGGAGGAGCAGGAGAAGGATGATGAGGAGGAGGAGGAGGAGGAGGAGGAGGACGAGGAGGAGGAGGAGGAGGAGGAGGAGGAGGAGGAGGAGGAGGAGGGGGATGATGTCGGGAACTGTTGGTTGGCGTGTCGCGCCGCCGGTTCTGGCCCACGACGCCTCGGCGCGGCACGCTATCAATGTCTCGGCCCCGAGGCGTCCACTTCCCGAGCCTTTCCCAGCCTCCCGCCCCGCGGGGCGGGGCGGCGCGCTATCCGCTCGCACGCCATGGCGTGTCGCCAGGGCCGCCGCCGCGAGACGCTAAATACAGCGGCGTGGCGAAAGTTCTTTTGAAATTTCGAAGGGTCGCTGCATGTCAGAATGGCGTCGGCGCCCCCCTCCCCCTCTAGAACTCTAACAGGAAGAACCTTGTCCGGTTTCCCCCAGCGGCGGGATAATCAGGCCCTTGGGGACCTAGCGGTTAATTGCCACATAAACTAGATCTGGGATGGAAATTACAAAATGATTTTTCACGTGCGAATTCATGATTTCGGCCCGTCCCAGATCCCAGCTCAATGGCCGCTTTGGTTCTCCGCGTGCGAAACAATCATCCCAGGGTGGTCCCGACTTTCACTCGTCAGTGATTCCAGGCCTTTTTGCACCTCAGAAGAAACTTGCGCCACCGCGAAGCGGGATCTCGTCGCTTCCTCATACAACTCGTCGCGGGCGACCGACGTCGGCCGCAGTGCCGCGCCGTTCCGCGCCGTGGCGTCCTGAGTCTTCCGCAGATAAAGGTTGTGCCGTGCCGTGCCCTGGAGGAGGAGGAGGAGGAGGAGGAGGAG